TTATTGAGGTATAATTGGCATTTATTGACTCCACATACTTAAAATGCATGATTGGATCTGTTCTGATATACATATGCACCTATAAAACCATCACAGCAATTAAGATGATAAACCCAGGCCTATCCCCCCCGGGAGTTTTCTCCTGCCTCTGCTTACCCCTCCTTTCCATCCCTCCCCATGCCCAGGCGGCCTCTGATCTGTGCCTGGCACTACAGATTAGGCTGCATTTTCTAGAGCTGTGTATAAACGGAATCATACAGGATGTACTCAGCTTTGGTCTGGCTTTTTTCACATGCCATGATCATTTCGAGAGTCATCCACTTTGTTGCACGAGATCAGTATTTCATTCCTCCTTCTTGTACCACAATTTGTTTATTCACTCACTTGTTGATGTACATTTGGGGTGTTTTCAGTTTGGGGCTAGAATGAATAGAGCTGCTAGGAATGCTCACGGGCAAGTCTTCAGGTTGACATGTGCTTTCTCTTTTCTTGGGGAAATGCCCGGCCGCAGCAGGAGGAGTAGGTCACATGGTTGTTAAGTAGGATGAACTTTTTAAGCAGCTGCAATCTGTTTTCCAAAATTGTTGTACCATTGCACCTTCCCACCAGCAGTTTGAAGTTCCAATTTCTCTGCATCCTGGTCAGTAGTTTTAATTAGCCATTCTGATAGGTGTGTAGGGGTATCTTGTTGCACTTTTCATTCACATTTCTCTAACGACTAATGACGTGGTGCGTCTTTTCATGTGCCTATTTGCCATTCACATATCTTATCTTGGTAATGTGTCTGTTCCTTTATATTATGTTGTTTATGGTAATTCTGAGTATAATTTGCTTGTACATAACTGCATTTGTTTCTCTTCCCACTCACCACCTACCACCACCACTAAGCTGGAAGCTCCGTGAGGGGTTGGGACAGAGCCTGCTTGCTCCCATATGCCTAGAACAGTGCCTGGCACTTACTGGGCAGATGCTCAATGAATACTCCTTGAAAGAGTGAATGAATGAGGCTGAATTCTAGCTCCTTCTCTGCCTCTTTGCATGGCCCTGAACAAGCTTCTCTGGACTCATTTTCCCAACTTGTAAAATGGGCCAGGGCATTGAACTCAAAGACCTTGAAGGGCTTCCCACTTCTGGCCTGGTCTGGGTTTGAGGCCTGGTCTGCTCTTGGCCTCTTGGCCACCCAGGTTCTCCTTCACTCTGCAACTTCCAACCTTGGCAGAGCTGGAAGGTGGCCCCAAGGCAGGCCTTGTATTGACAGGAGAGGGAGTGGCACTTTTCTTGAATCTGAGAGCCTGGACCCCAGAGCCCACTCTGCAGCATCCAGTCAGGGCCACCAGCTACCCCAGAGCCCCAGGCCTGCTGCCTCGGCCTGAGGAGTGGCATCCTTCCCTGGAGATGTTATGGACCCTGAGATGGCCATTCTCCTGCTGGAGTGTACCCTAACCCCTGACAAATAAGTCTCTCATCCCTCCACATACACCCTGGCGCTGAGCTGATGGGCTGGCGTTCATGGCTGAAAGGGAAGGAGGAAGATCCCAGTGTCAGCTATAAGTGACTGGGAAAGGACTGACCTGGACACTAAATATTCTGGCTTCCAGCCTCTCCACTCCCACCTGGACATGTGATCTTGGGAGGTCCTCAGTTTTCCCATCAATGCTTCGAAGAAGAAGAAACATGATGTTCCAAGGGTGTGTCCAGTGCTGATACCTAACAGCGTGGAGCCTTCCAGGTCAAATGTGCATTTTTTTGTTTGTTTCTCTGATAGTTTCTGTATCAGTCAGGGTGAGTGGTTGCAGGGGGTGGGGTCATAACAGGATCTACAGGCAGAAAAGGGGAGACAGACCCAGGAGCTTTCAGGGATAGAAGAATGCCCAGGAGGCAGTGGGGCTTTGCACACCCAGGCAGCACAAAGGCCGGGAGTGTGCTGCCAGGAGCTCAGCTGGGCTCTACAGGGAGACACAGAGAGGTCTCCGGTGGGCACCACTTGTGGAGAAACCACTGGACTGGATGATCATGGTAGCCAAGGAGTGATTTCAAGGGTTCATGGGGTAACCCAGGAAGCTTTGAAGGCTCAGGTACAGACTGCCCAAGTGGAGCTGGAGTTGGCGCTGGCCTCATGACAACTAGAATTGGAACCGTGGGAACAGTAGCAGGCGGTGCTCGCCAGAGCAGAGAACAGAGGCCACACCCCAGGTCAGGCTGGGGCTACACCTGGACCAGAGAACAGGCCAGGGAAGTAGCCCTATGAGGGAAGCTCAGAAATCTGGACACCCACAGCCTGGCCCTAGACACAGAGTGCTGCTGGGCTGAGCTGGACCAGGCTGCTGGGAGAGAGGGAAAGGACGGCTTCACCTCATACTTCCCTGAGCCAGGGAGACACACAAAGGCCTTGGGTCAGGGAGGCTGCATGGAGCAGATGGGAGGTCAGGGGTTGGCAAAGGAGAACTAAAGAGGCCCCCAGAGCCTGCGACATGATCCCACAGCTTAGGCTAGAGATGTTTGGGGAGAGGTGAGATGGAGAGGTGGGAGGTGCTCTGGGTGTGCAGGGAGGTGGAAGGTGGGGAAGAAGGGAAGAGCCTGGGGTCTTGAGAAAATGGAGAAGAGAAAAGGAGATGAGGAGAGAGAGAAGGGGAGAAAAGGTGGGTCTACCACCAAAGAGAAGTAGGAGATGCCAGTTCTGAGAGCGGTGAGGTCAGGGAGGAGAAGACAGAGGCTGCTCAGGGGGCAGCAGTCAGCGGGAAGGGGAGCAGGAAGCATCCACAGCTTCTTGCAAAAGAAGCCAGAGAGCAGAGTCTGGAGGGACAAAGCCAACCCTCCTGCCACCCGCCCACATCTCCTGAACAAGTGCTGCCATCAGCTGAGAATGCAGAGCCCTGATGAACTGCAAAATTGTTTTAAGTAAAAGTCTTCTAGGTATCAAAATATTGAAACCACTGTGTCACACTGTGAGTTAGTTGCTATGGAGAAACTTGCCCCCAACAGTCACTTTAGTCAGACATCAATGTGAGACAGGTCCCACATGGGCTGCCTTGGTGCTGGCACCACGGAGGGGGTTCTCTGCCCTGAGAAAGGACAGCCCCACACCTACCAGCCACACTTTTCTGAAAGTCACCTACACTGGGTACTCTCCATTTTTGGAGGCACAGAACTGATGGGGAAATTGAGGCCCAGAGAAGGTGAAAGGCCTACTAACATCACACAAGTTGATGGAATAGTTCAGACCATACCCCAAGTGTCCTGCCAGATGTCTTCCCAGAACATAGTCTGTTTTTCTTTCAAGACCCCATGGTGTACCAGGCCTTTCAAAGCTGGCCCAGTCTCTCCCTAAATGTGAGTGAGGCCAAGCAGGTCGGGTGGGTACCAGGGACCCCTGTGTGATGGGAAGCAGGCCCCCAGTGCTGAGCATGACTGGTAATGGTCTGCTCTCCCTGCTTGCCACATTCCAGTGACCCACACCCTCCTACCTGCTCACACCCTGAGCCCTTGCCCAGGTAAATGTCCACCCGTCTGATGCCCCTTTCTTCAATCCCAGCTTAAATTTCACCCTTTGCTATGTCTCGTGGGCTGGCCATGCCTCGATGCAGGGATGATTTCCTCGGCCCTATCGTCTTTCACCTGGACATTAGCAATAATCTTTCCCACACCCCTTACACCTATGAGGCTGGTCTTAAGTCACATACAGAGTCCCAAGAGTGGCCCCTGCAGCCCCATCTCTCCTTCTCCTCCCTAGCTCACCACTCCCCTGCCCCATGGGCCTTCCTTCAGTTTCTGGAATGTTCCCCTGTAGGGCCCTCACACCCGCTATCTCCACTGTCCGGAAGGCTCTTCCTGCATGTCTTCACCTAGCCAGCTCCCACTCCTCAGCCCTGCAGCAAGGATGTAGGGCCACCTCCCTGCCCACACTCCATCAGGTGCCCCTCATTGTTCTTTCTATAATACCTGGTGCTTCCTACTTGACAGCATCATCCCCCATTTGTAACCGTGTCACTGTTTGCTGTCTGCCTCTCTTACCAGGCTATAAGCAACCATCCCAACTGGTTACCACAGGGCCCCTGGCATCTAGCGTAGCTCCCAGTACATGTAGGGCTGCAGCAAATATTTCAAAGAGCAAATGGTTGAATGCTGAGGCCCTCCTCTTGGGACACTCAAAGAGGGGTAAACATGCAACGTAGAACTTCAAAGAGCAGGGTGCTAGTGAGGCCCTCAGGAAGGGCACTGGGACAGTGATGTGACTCACCTCTAGCATCAAAGAATTCATCATCTGAGCTCTCCACTGAGTCGCTGAGGACATTTCGAAGGTGCCAGGGGGCACCGCCACCCGGAGGAGGGCCACCTACCAAAGGAAACACATCCATTAGCCAAGCCTGAGCCAGTGTCCCAGTCTGAGGGAGGTGACCCCAGACCTTGCACACCAGTGCCCTCTCCCTTCGAACCCTCAGACTTCATGGAGCCCGTCCTCTCTTACACAATTGTTTAAACCTCAGAAACCTCTCTGAGAGAACTCAGAGTGTTGCCCATTGAGTGGTGCTCAATAAGTGTGCCCATTTCACATGTATTAAAACGGAGGTTGGAGGTATTTAAGAGACTTTGCCAAGGCGACTTGATCAAGAGACTCTGCCAAGCAGGCCATCAGTCAGCACAGGGTCAGGTTTGCTATTAACAAATGATCTCAGCTGCTTAAAATAGCAATAGTTTATTTCTCACAGTTTGGGAGGGGGGCTTTGCTTATCATGGTCATGCAGAGACTCCACCACCTTATGATGTCACCATCTCAGAATGAAACTTCAAGGTCTGCCCAAGCAGGAGAGAAGAGTACGGAAAATCACACCCAGTCTTAAACACTTGTGCCCAAAAATGCCACACTTCTGCTCACATTGCACTGGCCACCAGGCACATATGTCCTATGCCCATAAAGACCTGGGCTCTTGCATCAGCAAAGATCCTGCCTCAGTGTCTCCATATGTTCAATGAGAAACCTAGCAGAGACTGTCCCTTGAAACTCTCCGACTCAGCAGCTATTTGAGGAGCCCACGTGGCACATGGTAGTCATTGACAAGCAAGCAAGAGGTGGACACCGCCCCCCAAAACATACCAGGTATGACTGGTGATGCAATCCTCAGAGAACCTGGGGCAACCCCAGTTCACACATCCTGCCACCCTGCAGGATGCTGGCACTGTTCCCTGGCCAAGTCCGCAGGGACATAGCACTCCTGCCTGGCTCTGGCCTCACCCACCATGTCCTCCCAAACACCCAGCTTATGCTCCATGGCTTAGAAACCTATGAGAAGCATACTCTGAGACTCAGAAAGAACAGAGGCTGCAGGGAGCACCAACCTGCTAGTCACCTCTGGGTGCAAAGCTTGGTCCCCATACACTGTCCACGGGGACCTCTAGGCCCCCATGACCAGCATGACAGTTTGGCTCAGCAATTTCCCACCCTTGGGCCCTGATTTATTGTAAGGGCTCCTATAAACCCAAATGCACCATAGCAGTGTGTTTCTAACGTGGATATGGGACTCTTTCCTAAACATGTGTGGAAGAAGTTCTAGCTAGTACAATGAGAAAGAAAAATAAATGACAGGTATACTGATTGGAAAGTATATTTGCAAATGCATATTTTACCTAGTTTCCTGGTGTTCAAAATGCATATCTGAAATTGAAACTGTCTTTATTCTCAGATATACAATGTCCACGTAGAAAACAAAAGCTCTAGAAAAGCTCCTTTTTTTAGTTTATTTCAGCATATTATGGGGTACATACTTTCCGGTTACATAGTTTGCTTTTATAAATTTTAAGTCAAGGTTATAGGTGTGGCCCTCACCCAGAAAGTATGCAATGGACTTGTGCAAAGGACCTGGTGAGTGGGAATTTATCCTTCCCCTTCTTCCCCTCCCCCACCTAAGCTTCACTGAGTTTGTTTCCCTGTTGATCAACCAGTTCCAAATTAGTATTGAGTACATAAAAGCTATTTTTAAAAACCTACTAGAATAACCAAACATGGTAAGATTGCAGGATATGAGATCAACCTGCAGAAGTCAATTGCATTCCTACATGCTAACAATGGAGACTTGAAAATGAAAAGGCAATACTGCTTACAATAGCCACAAGAGAATGCTTAGGTGTAAAGCAAATGTATGTGGAGATTTCTGTGATTCAAGACATACAATTACTTAACATTCTTCCTGAATAACATTAACTTTCTATGTTTTCTCAATCAGCAGATAAAAACTATGTTAGCACCTGCTATATTAACCTACTGCATTAAAATATTAATATATATTTTGTATATATATTAACATATAACTAACTTTGCTATCCAAATCTATTCTACTCCTCAGATGTGAGAATTTGGCTAATCAGGAAAGGCCTATTATCCTCATCTATTTGGCACCTGAATTTTGGATAGTAAAGCAGTAAGAGTTTAACTCATGATGGAGTCATCTGAGAGTCATCTGAATCTATTTGGTTCCCAAGTCTGAATAACAAGGGTGCAGCAGGAGGCTTCTGTGTGCACTGGCTCTCACACCCATACACTATACCTCCAAGAGCCAGAGCGAGGCCATTTTCTCTGATAACTCATTGTGGGAGTCTAGGGGGAGAACCAAGCAGAGGGGACAGCTGCAGGAAGGCTAGCCCAATTCCACCTGAGGAAACAAGTTCTCTCAGCTAGAGCTGGGCAGAGAAAGAGTGGGCTGGAGGCCGTCAAAGGGAGCTTCCCATCCCCAAGGTGCTGTGGGTGCTGGAAACAACTTAAATAAAAGGGAATAAGAGGGACAGGGCAGGGTTCTCACAAAGCTTACATTCTGCAGAGCAGGAGAGCAGTAACCTGGCTCAGGTAAATAACAAAGATGATTTCAACATAAACCTCTCCCTTCCTACCCCACCACGTCCTCCTTCCTCTAATGTCTCTCACAGTGTAATTATAGCCTAAGGAATAGACAGGCTCCAACACGAGGATCAGGACATCCGCAGGGGGAAAGCGAGGAGGGAGCCTAACCTCAGTTACCAAAAGAACTTTGTCAGCTACTCTAGTTACAAACGCTGGGCTCACTGGGTGGCGTCTCTTTCTCCTCACATTCAAAGCTGATGTGCCTTTCAGATGAACCCTTTCCCTTAGTGTTGTGACTCTCCTTTCTGGTCAAAATACATACTTGATTTCTTTTCAAATGCATATTTTATCTTGTTTCTTGGTGTTCAAAATGCATATGTGCATTGGTTTTATTTTTATTTATTTATTTATTTATTGAGACAGGTCTTGCTCTGTTGCCCCCAGTAGAGCACAGTAGCATGTTCATAGCTCACTGCAACCACAAATTCCTGAGCTCAAGCAACCCTCCCACCTTAACCTGCTCAATAGATGGGACTACAGGTATACACCATCTTGCCTGGATAACTTTTCCGTATTTTGAAGAGGAAAGGTCTCTCTTCTCAGGCTGGTCTGGAACTCCTGACCTCAGACAATCCCCCTGCCTTGGCCTCCCAGAGTGCTAGGATTACAAGACAGGATTGGGCTGCATTGGTTTTCTAATGCAAACTGTTACATTTGTTTAAAGCTGATATAAGTTCTTCCTTCTCCCAAGGCAGGGTCTGCCGGAAAACAACTTCTAGAAAGGTGTTGGGGTAGAATAAGCCCAACAAATTATATACACTTGTATTTAAAAAAGAACCTATAAAAATGGATATGGTAAGAAGCTTCCAGGTGGGAGCTGCTCCCTTCATCTCACCTCTAGCATGTGGATTTTTTAAAAACCAAACACCAAAGTTCATATTTCTTTTTTTTTTTTTTTTTTTTTTTTTTTTTTTTTGAGACAGAGCCTCAAGCTGTCCCCCCGGGTAGAGTGCCATGGCATTACAGCTCACAGCAACCTCCAACTCCTGGGCTCAAGCGAGTCTCCTGCCTCCGCCTCCCAAGTAGCTGAGACCACAGGCGCCCACCACAACGCCCGGCTATTTTTTGGTTGCAGCCGTCATTGTTGTTTGGCGGGTCCGGGCTGGGGATTCGAACCTGCCACCTTAGGTGTACATGGCTGGTGCCTTAGCCAGTTGAGCCACAGGCGCCGAGCCCAAAGTTCATATTTCAAAAAAGGAAACAAGCAGTGGACAGAGTGTCTCAGGAGGGGTCAGAGGCGAAGACTTTTCTGAAAAGGTATCAGGTGAGCTGAAGCTTGAATGAGGAGGACAGAGCGAGATGTGCTAAGCTCAGGCACATGGGTGTGTGGCATATGCCTGACAGCTCCTGCACACACGTGCATGGTACGCACAGTGCACAGGCACATGGGTGTGTGTGGCATATGCCTGACAGCTCCTGCACACGTGCGTGGTACACACAGCACAGAATATGTGGGTGCGAGCCTTCTTGGATGAAGGAAGCGCGAGGGCAAATTACAGAAGAGCTCAGCAAGTCTAAGGGGCAGAAAAATACCCACATTGCTAGAGCTGATGATGGAGGGGAGACAGGAATTAGAGGAGGTGAGAGAGGAAATGGGTCCAGACTAGGGTGACCAGACGTCCCGCTTTTGGCGGGACAGCCCCGCTTTTTAACAATTTGTCCTGCATCCCATGGCATTTTAAAAAAGTCCCGATTTTTGGAAAGAATGCACAAATGGGCAGGAGAACAGGAAGGGAATATACGGTTTTTGGCTGCCATGTGGCTATTTTCCTAGAATA